CATCAGAGTTAATTACATCTTTTAAATCAGAGGACATCAGAAGAAAAACAACAACAGGAACACAGTCTGTGTTTTCATATTTAACTGCTCATGAAACAGAGAAGCAAGACTCTAGGAGATAATGAAGTGGCTGAGTCCTCCCCTAACAAGGCAAGTGGTCTCCTTTGATAATGCGGCAATAGCCCCAGCCCTGGAGGTCTCAGAGGAGCTGAAGCTCCTTGAGTCTTAAACAGGACCTCGGCCCTTGAAGCAGCTACAGCATTGCCATGTTTACTGCCTGTTTGAAGATTTCTCTCTTCGGTTCGATCTGCATCTGCCCAAGTCACTGCTCTCAGAGCAAGGAGCCTGGAAATCGATTGTTGTCCAAGGGACAGGACTGAGTTCAGATCAAGGCTATGGACATGCCACATGCCAGCCACCTCACCATGAAGAGCAGAAGCTTTAGAAAACAGGAAATCCAATTTGGGCCTCCTTTCTACAATTTTCATACTACTTGCCCCAAACACCTTTCCTATTGCAGAAATTGTGAGGTTATATATAATCTTTGCAGCTTCTTGTTTGAGTAGAGGTCATAGAACCATGTGGAAGGAACGTTTCTCTAGGTTCTGTCAACTTCATATTTATGGTTCAGAGTCATTACAAATAAAAAGCAGTTAAAAATGCTGACCTCCTCTAAGTGCTTGTGATAAGTGACTAAGAAAAATGATTATAAACTTTTGCAAGACAGTATAAAATGTAATAAATATAATGTTTCACGGAACAATTAATTATTAATTATTTTATTTATTAGGTTACTCTGTCACTAGTTAACACATAGTTGGACTCTATCAAGAGGAATTAAATTTTAAATTGAATTGAAAGTGATTCCTTTGCAATTGTAATAACCAATATTGTATCTGATTTAATGCTTACTTTACCCAACTGCTGAGCCCATGCCTGTGGGGGGGTTGCAGGGTCGAGGGACAGAAGATGCATTTTGGGTTTTATCTCTCACATGCTCGTTTTCCTCTCAGTCCACCCCGGACACCTGGACTGCTTCCAGTCTGATGAGAGAAGTTCCAGGTGGAAGTGCCTTTATCGCCTTCATGTTGAACTTGGGTTGGCATGAACGCTAGCGAGTCCAGCCCAGACAGCAGACAATGGGAGAGAGCCCTCTGACCTGGCCTTCACTCCAGCTGCACTGGCTCTCTCTTTATCTCAGGGCAGAAGCACAGGCTGAGCATTATGCAATGATCTTCTTATTTATTAGAACTAAAAGAGCACAGCCAACAAAAGGAGGGAGAGGAAGCCCTCTTCCATTTTATCTCACTTGTAGTACGTCTGGATTGTAGCAGTCACGCACAGGGTGTTCTTAAAGCCACATAATTCCTGGCACATCCTTTCTATTGTATTCTCATTAACCAAGTGTGTGTTCATGTATAATTTTTGTATTTATATATACACAAACATTTTTGTATATATATACTTGTACTCACAGTATATTGTGTAACATAAATATAGTATATAATATATTATATATGTATATATTCTCACTCATAACCATGGTTCTTAGTACTTTCTGATTCTATAACTCATTTTAAAATATGAGTGTAAGTTATGGATCCTCTCCCTAGAAAAATGTGCATAGGTACACCCTCTGAACATCTGCCTATAGTTTCCTGAAAGCTCACTCATGTCTCAACGAGCAGGCCCTTGGTAGGACAAAAAGCAACATTTCCAAAGACTTTTAAATATCATGTGTCGTTCATGGTCTTGCTCAGCTTAAATATTATGTAACACGATTTTTGTTTCCCTAAATGGAAAACCTGAAGGGCTATACCAGGTTCTCATCTACAGCTTGATGCAGAGTGAAGATTTTCTGACCCCGGTCACGTTCTGTAAAGCTAATCTACAGTTTCTACAAAAGAGAGGATGTGCACTTAAGCATAATATGCCCAAGACACTGATCTGAGAGCAGGGGCAGTTCACAGCGGGGCTGTGCTCAGCTGAAGGCCATAGGGACAGCCCGTTTTCAGTCATTCTGGAGTTGGGATTTTAATCCCCAAAGTACATTGGCTAGTGCTGTCAGCTCTGCTACCCAAAATGCTGTACTTCAAAGCTCACTTTTCACCATTTTTCGTCCATGAGGTTCTTTTTTCCCCTCCCAAAACCACTTGCAGAATCAATTTCTGTCTTCCCATCTCATTTTGTTTGTGGAGTATTTAGCGAAGGCTCTCGCACTTTGCGACACTTGTCTCTAATCTTCTTGTCTCTCTCACTGCAGTAGGAGGACCCAGAGGAGAACTCTTTTGTTTCCTGCACGTAGTGGGTGATTGATATGAGTTTGAGGGGCAGTAGGCATCGTGCTTAGGGACTTCTGCTCTGGAGACTATAGACTTGAGTTCTAATCCCAGCTTTGCCATTAATTAGCTATTTAGTTTTAGGAAAAAACACTTGAATTTCCTAAGTATCAATTTTCATCTTTCTGTAAAGTAGGTATGATAATCCCCATCTAACTGGGCTATTGTGAAGAGTAAATGATATAATACATAAAAAGCATTTAACCCAGCATTTGAATCATAGTTAGCGTTGAATGAAGGTTAGTTGTATAATTTGTTGAACTGAGTTTTACAGGGAATTTATCTTTTTGGGGTTCCTTTAGATAGTAAACATTGGTATACAGCCAAATATTAATGGTATTATAATTTTTTTGGACAGAAGTGAAATTTCATAGTATTTTTCAAGTCCTCTTAAATATCTTTACTTTTAATATGTAAAGTCCCAATTGGCAAATAAAAGTTTCAGCTTTTATCCTACTTAACTCTAGGATATTGGAAGTAACCTAATGATACTGGTTTACTTTCCACACTATTTGTATAACACAAAGACATGGATTGCTAGCTTCTAAGAGATCCTAAGACCAGTTGAACAGGGAAACTGGTGAAGACAATATCTTAAAAGTGGTTTTGAGCCCTATATTTCCATCTCTCTCTAGTCATTATCAAAAGGATTCTTCTCTTTCCTATCAAAGATCAGGGCAGACAGTTCAGATGCCGATAAATTCACTGCTAGAAAAAAAAATAGCGCACCTTGTAGTTACATTTTTGGATACAAAGAACAACACAGGTATTCAAAGACTTTTTAAAAAGTTATATCTATATGAATATCTTTAGCTAACTCCTCAAAACTTTTTAAAACTGGGATTAAGTTTTCTTGAATTTTGTCCATTTTGAGCACCTGTGTTTGAACAAACGTTTGAGGACAGAGATTATATTTTATTCATTTATGTACTTCTAGACATAATTACACATGTGTCATCTGATATGTGTAATAAATAGTTGCTGATTAAAAATATACAAGATTATATGTTGCATTGAAAAGGCTGCAGAATTTGGTTGTATTGGAATGTTTATTTTTAACAAAGAGATTAAAATAAAAACTATTACAAATTATTTGTACTTCAAAGGTTTGAGTAAGGAATCTATTTTTCGGAGAACATTTTAATATCTAAAGAAGATAGATCGGAGTGTTTTTATTTTGAGAGTCAATTTTTGTTAATTAGCATTGACTACTTATTCATTACTGATGAAATTCTACTTTCTTGATTTAATGATTTTAACATCTGGCATATTTATTTCTGAATTCATATATAAATGTGAATTCATTATGTGTTTTATATATACTACATGTCAAAATACAGTTTTATGACCTCATTTTTATGTACTAATTAGCCAGTAGCAGTAGATACTCTCTTAAACTCCATTGCTATGATTTATTTGATGATGAGAAATTAGAATTATGTAAGCATTTACATTATTTGGGAATGGATCAAGTAGCCAGCCTTGCTGATTGATTTTCTTTGTCTAATAAAAGACAACTGAAAAAGTCAGAATTGATAGGAATACAAAATCTACTTGGGGCTCTCGATCTAATCATTCATTTTCCGCCCCCCCTAGTCAAATGTCTATGTTTTTCTCAAGCAATAAATTTAGTTTCTGAGATAGTTTAGAAAGTTTACTTTTAGTTTATATTTATCTTTGTTTAGTTTTTAGCTCATCACCCAAAGATTTCTTAGGTCTGTCATCCTGTCCCCTCTATAAGGTCATATCTATCCCAGCTTTGGGTGTTGGCTGTAGGTCCAAGAGAGCCCAGTGCTGAAGTACATTCCAGGTGGAGCCATAAACCTTGGAACCCCAGTTCCTACCTACGCCAAAAGCTAATTAACTGGATGGAGAAAGGCTTTTTAAAATGTTCCAAGTGTGCTTTATTGGAAATCAATGCATCCTTAAGCTGCAACGTCTTGTATAATACAGCTGTTTTATGGGGATCTGTCAGGAATTCTTTCAGCACTGATTTCTTTCAAAAGATCTACTAAAACAGAGGTCAATAACTCCTTTGTATGCAGTGATTTTGTAAAAAAAACAATCAAAGGTCTTCAAAGAATCACGTTGAAAATTCTGGGAGTAATTCATTTATGATATAGGCTTTAATATCTGAGACAATAGCATAGGTAAAAGTTCTCCAGGTCAACCTACTCATGTTGCTGAACTATTTTATAACAATGAAGTATGCCTATTGTCTTTGATAACATAGCTCTGACTCAAAGGCAATAAGCTTTAGAAATGGCCCTAGAGGCATAAACCCGAATTAGGATTGCACCTGGCAACTATCATTTATAGAAATCCTACAAGGACTGGCTTCAACTGGCCATCATATATGAGATAGTTTCCAGTGAAACAGATATATCTTCAGACCACCAGAGAGTAGGCTCAGAGATCCTGCTTGACTTGGAACAATTTCAAAGCTGCATTGGAGCAAATTGAACTCCTTGGATATCCTTGTAAACCAATGAAATCTGTTTTGAGGGATATCCTGACCTTTTTCAAACTCATGCTCTTTGGCTGTGGTCATCACGGAGGCTGACCCTGAATGAAGCTGCCTCCAAGGGTGAGACTCAGGCTCCAGCACTGGGCCTAAGGCAGTTGGTGTACTGTGTTTGGTTCAACATTGAGCTCTCTTACCTGATAAAGGTTGGCGAGGTGGTGGTTAGTTTTGATCAGAAATGGCTGATTCACCCCTGGGTGGTCAACATCGTGTGCTGCTGCAGCCAACAGTCCAAGCATGATATCCAGAGGTGTGAGGAAGCTGGCGAGCTGAAACAAATTGGGAGACTGATGGGTGTGCTTTCACAAGTAGGTTAGCATTTGTTTTGGCTAAATCAAATGGAGTGAATCATCAAAGTATTGTTCAGGTCTTTCATCTAGACCTTTACCCCCTGAAGCAGTGAATGAGGTGATAGTCACATGGAATCGCAAGAAAAATGAAAGGACTGCCTGGAAAGTAATTAAGTGAGTCAAAGTGTGTAGGTCATTCCAGCACCTCCCCCCCCCCCGCCCCGCCCCCCAACTGCCACTGTTTCCTTTTGTTGTTGTAGGATCTGTTGCCTCTCAGCAACACTGCTCTGTGGTGGGCAGGGAGAAGGTAGAGCCTGCAATCAGCCTTGCTCTTAGAGAAAGCTGTAAATGAAGGAAAAAGCTAAAGCTGAAGTGATGGACACATGAAAAAAATCATTTGTGTATTTCAACCATTCACTATATTGTCGCCACTTCTTTGAATAGGAAATCAAGTGTGGGCTGAATTGTAAAATTTGCATATTTCTTCAATGTGTAGTCAATAGTAGGGGAATGTGTGAGAATCTGTCATTTTTTTTTTTGGCTAGCTGGGAAAATAAGGAGGGTAATAGGAATCCAGTACTAACTTTAAATATACAACTGTGTGATATATTACAATTTTCAGAATACTTAGAAATTATAAAACAAAACCGGTGATGTCTTTAAGCTATTTTATATGGACGAGGCATCTACCTAGTTTTGTCTTGAAAATGACTGTCTGGCATCTGTATAGTCAGTGGTTGATGGTAAAACTGATTAAACTAAATAGAGTCTTGGACTGGGATACTGTTTTCCAAAAACCTTAAGAAAACTCATCTTATATGGTATACCAACTAAGTTTTATATGGCTAAGAAATGCCTCGATTTTGAGTAACGAGCATGATGACTCTGTTTTTAATTTTGGATTCATTTATCGCATCTAAGCAAGCTGAGCCTTGAGGAGTTTTGATTCTATCTGTCGATGAAAAACCATGAGGTGGAGACTTTTCCCAGAAAACTTCAGTGGTGGTACCATTTGTGACAAAGGCCCAGTGCAAAGCAGCTAGATCCTGGGACTGGTGAAGATATCTAAGATGGAAATTGTTGTAGAGAGCATTGTTTTTGTCTTAATGCAGGCTTGAAAACATGCGAATTATGAAAGGAAGCCTCCAAAAGTTTACAGCCCCTTTCATGAGTGCTGTACGATTTTTAGAGTTGATACTGGAATTTTAATAGGAAACAATTTGTGTTCCTATTGTGAATGACCCATAACACAGTTATTCTGATATGTTGGGTGGTTTGGGATCGAGCAGGTAGTTGGCTGGCATTTCCAGATGGTTGAGGAGGCACCAAGTCTTGCCTTACCTTTGGCTCCTTTAGGTAGCAGTGCATGGCCTGGGTGACATCAGCCGCGTGAACAGCATTGTGATATGGGTTTTGGCTGTGGTAATCTTCTTGAACCATGACTGGGAGGCAAATAGATAATCCAATCAGTTAAAACCAAAACAGGAAGGGCATACTAGCTCAGACTTATGAGGGTTCCTTTTGCTTAAAAGTGTCAGTGTCTCCAAAATGTGCAGCCTGGGGATTCTTTAAAAACGAACGTGGTTTTTAAGGCTTGCCAGTTCCCCTGATCTGTTTTTAGTGGAGAGGAGGGGGAGGGCAGACGGGATAAAGGCTAGCCGGATTCGTGAGTCCTTTGGGACCCCTCTCCACCTTCATAAATCACCCCTGTCTGGCATTCATGAAGGCTTGCATTCATAGGAAAAAAATAAATATGTGGGAAAAGAACAACTTTATTTCACACTATAGTTTAATTATTTAAGTTTGCTGCCATTTATGAATAATATGCCATAAAAGAGATTTCCTTTAAAGAGTCCTAGTGGCATCAGACTCCTGATATCCAAAGATGGATTTATCAGTTAAATAACAAATACTGACCAAAGCAAATCTGGGACTACTTCAGGAAGAAAGTCAAGGTACTGTGTTGATCCAACTGAGAACTCCTTGGTTTTATTTCTACCATATTCAAGTTAAGTGATTATTTTTCATGCCTTTCCAATCTAAGGACCAGAGTGCTCTTGGAACCAAACAGAGACATAAGCAAGGCAACTTGGTCTGCTATTTACAGAAGCCACAGCCTGCTTCAGCTAATAACCAAAGCAATGCTTAGGATGCAATATAATCAGAGTGCAGAGAACATCCAGGTTTGCAAGTGTGGCCATATTTTCTCAGCCCATGCTCTGAATGTGGCTCTGGATTCTGGTATTATTTCTGTTATCAAATCTTTACATTCTTTACATGTACACTGGGTGCAAACACATGTCCAAAGTATCTGTATTCTTTCTCTTTAGACAAACCAAAATTATTTGGCCTTATTCATGGCTGTTACTTTGCTCAAGCAATCTAAATTCAATTAGCTGGGGGTTATTTGTAGTTCTGAAACTGAGCCACACTGTGGTTTGTTTAAAAAATGTCTGTTGTGCCACATATACCTTTTATTTAGTAGGTTTATTTTACAATTATATTTAAACTCCGGCACTTATTTGTACTGGGCAAGTTACTTAACCACAAGTTTTCTTCTCTATAAAATGGGGATAACAATAACCTCAATCACAAAAGGAGACTGTAAGTTAAATGTGTTAATATATGCAAGTCCTTAAAAGAATCCCTGGCATATTTAAGCCTGGTTGTTGCAGCTGCTACTTTTGCTGTCATTGTCACTGTTATTTTACTCTTGATGGCATCAAGTCAGCTTTCAAATTCAAAGCACAGCCATGGGGTAAGTCAAAGAAGCCAGAAACATGCTAAGTGGCAGCAGGAAGTCATTTTGTGATTAAAAATGTGCCCTGGATCATTCACTGGCAGGTAAATAAGAATGAACATAAAGTCAAATAAGAACTGGGGCTGCTTTTGATAGAGAGTAATGGTGGAGTTGAGTGGGAAGATGGTGGCCTTTCAAGTCAGAGAGACCTGGGCTTCGATTGAGGCTCTGCCAATTATAAGTTGTTGACCTTGAGCAAGTTATGAAACCTCTTTGCACCTCTCCTTAACAGAGGGCCAAATGGTGGTGATAATGCACAGCTTGCAGGGTTATTGAAATGGTTAGACATAACATATCAACAGCATCCTGCATGTAGTGGGCACTGCATAAATGATAGTTCTTATTATTTAAAAAAAAAGGGTTGGAGGTTTTGAAAAATTTCTTTCCCGGTTTGGAATGATTTGAGCAACCCCTTTTGGGGGTTTTGTTGATATGTAAGCAGATCAGTAACTTCTTTGACATTTACATGTTCTTGATGGTTTTCTGTTTATAGCCTTTACTGTTATAAATGTAACTAATCAAGAAAAGATTTTTTTCAGTGATTTAAATGGGTAAATCATATTTTAAAATTAAGTTGAGATAATTTACGACTAATTTGAGGTCTTCATCTACCATGCTATAATTCTTGCCACCTTATATTAAATAATATCATGGACTTCCATTATTCTTGGGAAGGAGATAGGCATTCAGAAAAAAAAAGACTTACCTAAAAACCTGTGTAAGGTCACCATATCTAACTTGAAATGGTGAATGAGTCCATGGGTGTTGAAGAGGTGGCACAGCAGTGTTACCAGGCTATTTCCTATAGAAAAACAGTTAAAACAAAACTCATTTTCATCACCATTAAAATATCAAGATTGACAATAGGATCCAAAGTTTTCCCCTTTAGATTTGAAATTATTCAAGTATAAAGAATATTATTACTAGGTTTTCTCTTATTGTACAAGTAAAATTAGCTCATATCTTCTCCTTACACCAAAGGCAATGAAAATGTTAAGAGTTAGAAGGAGTCTGTTTTCTGTGTGTGTATGTAGGTGTGTGTGTGTGTGTGTGTGTGTGTGTGTGTGTGTGTGTGTGTGTATGGATTTTGTGTGCTTTTTTTTAGCTGAGCCACCCTGCCACCTGTTGGCAGCTCAGTGGCCCGGAATCAAACCCGTGACCCTGTTGCTCAGAGTGCGCACTCTTGAGCAAGCTCTTAACCAACTGGTTAACCACTTGGCCAGCTGGATATTTTTTAAAGGCACAGTTTGATGGTCCTTAAGTTGCTTCCAATCCTACATTTACGTGGGTATTTAAGCCACTGTATTGCTTAATAGTTATAGTCTTTTTTTTTTTCCTATGGAAAATCACCCAAGATGAGATTTGACCATGACTTATTTTATAACTCAAGCCAGCAGGGATGCAAAATTGAAGCTACAATAACTTGTAAGCATTCAAGAAATATTGTTTATTAAAGAATAATGATTTTGAATTTTAAAAACATTATGGTTTATGAAAGGCTTTGAAATGGACCAAGAAGATGACTGGATGTCTTAAATGGAAAAGTAGGTGTGGCCTAAGCACACTCTTCCAGGGTACCTGATTCTATGACTTTCTGCATCTTTCACTGTGTTAGAGCTATTTCACAACAAAGTTGTAGACAACGGAAAGCATTGCAAGTGATTCTTGTCCATATGCATGCAAATAAAAAATTAGGTGGAAATACAATTGATTTTCCCCTCCCAGTTTTGCAGCTATTTTAAAATTTATTTTAGCATTTCTCACTGCACATAATATATATGTGGCTCTTTGAAATGTCCTTTGAACTAGTTGTAGCATCTTACTGGATCTCTAATTAACTGAGTTAAGTGCCATCTTTGATGTGCTCTTTTCATATTTTTACAAGAATTTTGATTATACTCTCTTTAAACAAATACCATTTAACAAATTATTTTGTTCATGGTTAATTTCATTTACTGGTACCCATTTCTCAGTTGACTTGCGCAAAGGGAAATATGTGATTATGGGATCCATCCCTACATGGTCTAGTTGGCTTTCCACAGTGTAAAGCTCAGTTTCATGGTCTTAGGCTGCATCTCTTTCCACTGTATGATGTTTGTCAAGTAATAGAATGGTGAGAGAAGCATCTCTAATGACTTAAAGCACAAGCTGGGTAGATGGTGGGACATACAAAGGTTAACATTAAGTGTGATGTCTTTCATTGGCTCCCTAAGCCTATTAGTATTTGTTTAATGGGCAGATGGAAATAAAATAGTCTTTTAATATTCTATTAAAAGAAGCCTATAAGGCACAAAAATTAAAAAAAGTGAAACCAATGAGACTATCTACTTTTTCCTTCAGCTGTAGCTTAAGTTTTATACTCTATCTTCAGCAATTGTTTTCTTCTGATGATGCCAAACATACCCGAACAATACCTGCAATAGGGTGAATTTGACTCACTTACTGAAAATACATAAACACCTGGCCTGTAAGAGTCAGGACTGATCAGATGAGCTTTTGTGTTTCTAATTTGCATCAACCAACAATGAACTTCCTCCTTTATGGATGTGGCCAAAAGATTCTGTCAAGGACAGAATCTAATCTGTGCTTTCCAAATTCCTTTGGGATTATCAAGGCCAGAAGGAAATGTTTTAAGATTTTAAGGCCAAATTCAGTCCTTATTCTTCATCTGAACTAATTTTCCTTTGCCATCGTCCTTCTTCAGTGGCTGGAGACTTAATGAAAGTGGGGAAAGAAGGAAAAATGAATAACAGTGTTTAAAAATAAATTTTGTTTTCATGACATTAATCCTAGGTTATGGTGTATATTTTAGTGAGAATTCTTTTGGTGACTTACCATTTGTCAAGCGATCAAACAAGAAAATGTCAAAATCCCACATTCCCACTTTGGAGAGCATATGCTGAAAAGGCAAACAAAAAACAGCACTCAATGGAATCATACCAGAGACTCAAAGATTTTCTTTGAGACAGTGAATTCAACAATTAAAAAGTCAAAAATAGTAAGTAGCATACTACTAACTATGTACAACTGGTTTACAGTAAAACAAATCTTTTACTCTACTTGATGATAATAGTATTGTTAAAGGGAAAGGCTCAGGAATTAGACTGCCTGGTCTAATGTCGGCCACGTCTTTTACTGGCTGTGGTAACTTGGGCAAGTTCTTTAACCTCTGTTTTGTAATTTGAAAAAAGTGGCTGATATTATTACCTCAGGGGGTTGCTGTGAAGATTAAATAAAGTAACATATATAAACATAAATATATGTAATATAAGTGCTTAAAACCATGCTTGTACATACATAGTAAGCACACACGTTAGATATCTGTTAAAATTGTACTTCAGTAAAATCTCTGCATCACAAAGTACTATTCACTTAAGGGAGAAGGTTTACACATATTTCTAAAAAATGAAGTCAAAATGATTACTGAGCACATTACTCTGCTCAATGTGGACAAATTATGAAATTAACCCCTGTAACAGGAAACTGAAGAGTGAGCAATTGAAATTATTGGGAAATTTAAAGTCCTACTGTCCAATGTAGGCTTATTATCCTATTTTTCTTTTTAAAAATACCCCATGCCTCCACCCAGAGTCAGTTCTCCTTCCATCACCATAAATTCGACCCCCTTTACCCTCTTCGACCATCCCTGCTCCCCCCTTACCCTCTGGTAACCACTAAACTGTTGTTTGTGTTTATGAGTTTTTATTTCTTTGTTTGTTTGTCTTGTTCCTTTGTTACTTTCAGTTTTATATCCCACATATGCATGAAGTCATATGGTTCTCGACTTTTTCTGTCTGACTTAGTTCGCTTAGTATAATAATCTCAAGATCCATCCATGTTGTCACAAATGGCAGTAGTTCATCTTTTGTTATGGCAGAGTATATAGATGATGTATTATAGAAATGAGCACTTGAAACCTATGTAGTTTTGCTAACCATTGTCACCCCAATAAATTTAATGAAATAAAAATAATAAGTAGCATAAGGGTGTTCCTTGGGGAAAAGAAAAATACCCACGCCTAGAATTAGATGGTGTTAACTCTCAGTCAGACACAAAGTTCCAGTTACTGATTCTATCCTCACTACAGCTCCTGCAACTGGGCCTTCCTCTCTTCTCACAGCCACTGCTCCTGGGAAGGACCAGCTTGCTCTCCTCTACCTGCCCCTGAATGGCTTCTTTGTGTCTTATGATAAAATCCAAAGGCCTCATCATGGCACACAAAGACTTTCACAACAGAAAAATGGAGGGGTAAGAGGTTACTCATGAGGTCTAGACTGAGTGAGCATTTTATCCAAGGCATGCAAATCTAAAGGCAGAGGCAGGGCTTGAGCTCTGATAACCTGAATTCTGGCCTGCTGTTCTTTCTATATCTCAATGTTGCCTTTCTTGAGAGGTGGTCGGTAAGAGGGGAGGCACCACCGGGAGTGCTCTGTCAGGGGTGCTCCAGTGCTGGGAGCTTAGTCTTGCTCTCCTCTAACCAGACAAGTGAACAAGCAAACGAACATTCACTCAATCTCAGGTCCTGGGTTGCTAGAAGGAGTGATGTCTTTTCCTTCTTTTGTAGACCTAATATTGGGAATTAGTTCTTCTGGAATTACTTGCTGCTTATTTCTTAATAGCATATATTAATAGTATATATTTTTAAATAATATATAGACAGCATAATATTATTTAGCATGTCAACCATAAGATACTACTTTAGCTTCTGTTTAAACTGAGGTAGTTTATTCCTGAAATTTAAATTCCTTTGGCAGTTTGAGCTAGAGATAGCTTGTGAGCTGTTGTTTTTTTTTTTAGATTGTCACACATTATTTACTACCCTCGGTTGGACCCATGAACTGTAAAAATAATTGCAAAATTAGTAAAAATCATTTGAATGAATTAAAATGTATAAAAAACATAATGCACCATTTTGATAGCCTAAAGTAGAATGAAGAGTTGGTAATTATTGGGTTAATTTCAGTGTAGCTATTTTAATGAGATAACTCAATGGGCTAAAAATTTAGCTATTGTCTCATTAGTGAATGATCAGTCCCAAAGATTACTTTAGTGTTCTGTAAATATGATTTGCACATTTATAAAAATGAAAATATCTAGACATGAATATATTAAGCATGTAAACATGCTTTACCTCATTTAATCTCAGCATCACCCCTATGAGGTATGTGTTTTAATTAACTTCACTTTATATTTGAGGAAAAAGCTCACACATGCTGAGTAACTAGCCAGAGTCACAGAGAGAGCATCAGTGGTAGAGGTAGGACTCAAACCTGGGTGCTATTAGCGGAGGCACGTGCTCTCGGCCACTGGCCTGCTGTGATATGACAGGGGGGTAGCTAGCTCACCCTTGCTTGTCCAAGGTAGTCTTCATCCAGTAGGTGGAGAGAGGCTTGTGGTATGATTCCACGAAGCAGCCTCGATGCATGGAAGTATCTCTGAAAGCTTAGCAGTCTTTTCACCTTTTTCTTGGTACCAATTTCCCCTGAGTGTGTTGTATCTGTGAAAGTAATCAAGTTCCAAGTTATACATTTTAAAAGTCCTATTTTCTCCGTTATGTAAAAATGCACTATATTATAAAGGAGAGAAATTTTAAAGATGGTCTCAATGCTTTCTTAAATATAGTCTACTTAACTCTACATTTGAAATTCTTGTAGAACAAAATTGATACTATATATTACATTTATTAAAATGTTGAGATATTTCTGAATGCAATTTTGGAAGACATAAAGTATATGCACTAAAAACTTCATTTTTTTATTAATGATGAGGATATGCTTAGTAAGCGAAATTTGCATAACTTCGGCATGCTGTTAAAGGAAGAGTTAGCCTTTTTTATGCAATATTGGAATTGAGCTTCCAAAATTTAGATCAGGTTCTTATCCTACACTCATTCTTGTCTGATCAAATCCTTCACCTGAATTAGAAGAGTTGAGAATACACTAGCTTAGAAATGAGGAAATATTTCCTAATGTCCCAGGAACATTAGTGGCAAAGGAATCAATAATTTCAACATAAAACGGACCTACATTCCCGTGACATGAAGCAGAGAGGGTGTTTACTTTCTAATGGAGTATATTCTCTTTTGCTGGTGGCCATAAAAGCCTGACCCTGTCAGTAGAGATATTTTAATGCTCACGTCACATGTACCTTTCAAAGCTTGACTGTTGACATCGTGACGATTGTCCAGAAATACCCCAAGCACATTATTTGAATGCCTGTCATGGTATATCTTGTCTCAACTGAAATTCTATGAATCACTCTAGGGCTATGTAAGTGACATCTGCTGCCAATTTTGGATCTGGAGTCAACTGAACAATCTAGTAGGAAAACATACTGTTCTTATATAAAGAAATTTTGGTTTCTCTGATGCCTCTTCCCATCTCCCGTTTCCCTCTATGGAACTCAAAATTACAGTGGATGCCAGAAGCAGAGGAAACAATAGACAAGGGTTTCCTTAGCAATGTGGCATGCCCCAATGACAGTGAGTGACCAACATCAGTTTATTTCTTAGGTTGTTTTATGCATGCAAAGCTTGATGCAGAGCAGACAAAACCCACTGTTCTCTGGAAATGCTGCTTGATTGAAATTCTTTTTATTTTAAAATGGATCTAGATGTCATGTGTGGAAAGAGGCAAGTGAGTACATATGGAGATAAGAGGCATACAACTGAAGTAGGTGTTTAGGCACACATCAATATTAAGAATATTAACAATAGTAAGTAGTCCCCTCCTTATCTGCAGTTTTGCTTTCCGTGGTTTCCATTACCCATGGTTAACTGGTGTTCAAAAATATTAAGTGGAAAATTCCAGATCTGAACACTTCATAAGTTTTGAGTTCCACACTATTCTGAGTAGCGTGATGAAATCTCTCGTTGTCCTGCCCTGTCCCACCCAGGACGTGAATCATCCCTTTGTCAAAAGTCTCCACATTGCGTTTGTGCCCCACCCGTTAATCACTTAGTAGCCATCTTGGTTATCAGATTGTTGAAGTATCACAGTGCTTGCATTCAGGTAACTCTTATTTTATTTTATAATGGCCCCAAAATGCAAGAGTGAAGCTGGCAATTTGGATATGCCAAAGAAAAGCTGTAAAGTGCTTCCTTTAGGAGAAAAGATGAAAGTACTTGACTTGATAAGCATCGTATCATCTCATTATCACAGGAAGACGAAGGATGAGTACAATACAATAAGATATTTTGAGAGAGACCATAATCACACATATACTTATATTAGAACATGTTGTTATGCTTAGTTTATTATTATTAATCTCTTACTGTGCCTAATTTATAAATTAAACCTTATTATAGGTATGTATGAATAGGAAAGAACATAATATATATAGGATTTGGTACGATCCACAGTTTCAGGCATTTACTGGGGGTCTTGGAATGCATCATTCACAGACAGATAAAGGGGACAACTGTATATGTGGACTTCATTCTACTGGTGAGTCCTCACTAGTTTCTATCAGTTTATCAAATAAAAGTACAGGATCAAGTGGTTCATTCACTTATTTAAAAAACATTTTGAGTGTTACTAATGGACAGCACTGAGCTAGATACTTGGTGAGATCCTTACATTCTAGATCCTCCAGTGAGCAAAACAAAGATCCCTGTCCTCATGAAGCTTACATTCTAGCATAGAAAGATGGACAATAAGCAATAAGCATAAAATGGAAGTAATTTTAAAATGTGTTAGAAGGTGATTAGTGTAATGGGTAAAAAAGGTAAATAAATAAATCAAAGCAGGGAACGAGGGATTAGGAGTTCTATGTTGGGGTTGTTAGGGTTGGCCTCATTAGAGGGTACAATTTGATCAAAACTTGAAGTAGATGAAGGAGCTGGCCAAGCAGGTATCTGGGGAAATGCCTCAATACAGAGTGACCAGTACCAATAACCCTAGAGTGGGAATCATGCTTTGGGTGCTGGCAGCAAGAGGGAGAAGCAGCAGCAGTTCTGTGCAGACGGGACAAGAGGGAGAAGGAAGAGAGAGATGGGGCTTAGAGCAAAAGGGGCATAAGAATTATACAGGGCCCTGCAGGCCACTGTGACAGCTTTGGCTATACTCTGAGTGCAATGTAGAACCACTGCAAACTTTTGAGCAGAAAGGTGATATGATCATGCTGACATTTAAAAAGGGTCATCCTGGCTTCTGTGTTGAGAACAGATTATGGGAGCAAGTTTTGATGCAGTGAGATCTGTTATGAGGCCATTGAAATAATCAGCAAGAGATGATGGCTGCTCAGACCTTGGGGTGAGGAGGGGTGTGCAGTGGAGACAGTAGTGAAAAGATCCTGAATATATTTTGGGAACCTCCAAGGTGTTGGCCTGAATAACCGGGATAATGGACCTGAGATGGGAAAGGCTGCAGGTGCAGCAGGTATGGGGTGGATTCAGTTTTGCACATGTTGAATTTGGAAGTCTATTGGAAATTCAGGTGAAGATGTCAAATAGAAATAAATGGATATAGAATCCAGAGCTTGAGGGAGAAGACTGAGTTAGGGATACAAATTTAGGAGTTGTCAGATGAAATGACTTAGGGAGTATGTGTAGACACAGGCAAGAAAAGCATCGAAATTTGAGTTCTGCAGTGCTTCAACTTTAAAGGGTGTGGAGAAGAGCAGAAAAGGTCAAAAGAGACTAAGAAGGAGTACCCAGGAGATGAAAACCTAGGGAAGACAATATTGCAAGGAGGGAGGTGTGATCCTATAGTCTCAAATGATGCTAGTAGATCAAGTGCAGTGAAGACTCAGCATTGACCCTGGGTGTATAAATCTGTCAAAATTCATTTAACTATGCACTTAAAGGGCACATTTCATTGTATGCCTAGAAGCAACAATGCCCTAGTAGACGAGCATATCTAGCATTCTGATTTTGTGTTTTAAATACAATTTCTCACTAAAGGAACCAGGCCACCTTGGTGAAATGGCTGAGTCTAGGACTGGGGCTGGCAAAGTACACAATGAACTATAACTTCTAGGTCTGCTAGAAAATAAGGGAGAGCTCAAAAATAATAGGATCATTTAAAAACAACAGAACAGAACTTGAAGGGCAAATATGGGGAAATTTGAGCATGAAAATAGATAAATGAAGAATGGATCATAAAACATTGACTGGAAGAGGAATCTGCAAGTCCTTACTGGTAATAATCAGGTAAGTAAGTAAATAAATAAGGAGAAGAGAAAGCTCTTCCTTGCAGAGAGTGCTAAACAATAATGTAGATTAAATAATAGAGTTAGAAAATTACCATTTTGCAACCTTCCTAGTAATAACAGATTCAGGCCAGAATCTGTTACTGGATACTAAAATTATTAAGTGAAAGTTTAAAAAGCAACAGGATAATTACATTGTATCAAAGTGTCTTCTCAGAGATGACTTATTAATTAGAAAGGAAAAAATGGGTAATATTTTAGTGGACAAATGTAGAGAGGGAACCATCTTCACTAAGTGATTAAAGTTAACAACATGAATGATGGGAGAAACTGATAGATATCCTGCACTTACTGATGTAATGTACTGAGGACACAACATGGCCTAGGTACTGTTCCTGCCCCAAATGCATATATGACCTCAATAAAAAGGAAACATCAGTTGAAGGATACTACAAAGCAATCGACCTAGTCTTAAAAAATGTCAGTGTCATGAACGACAAAGCCTTAGGTGTTGTTTCATATTCGTGTATTAGATATAGTGCACTAAATGCAATGCATGACCCTGAATTGGATCCTGGATCAGAAAACAATTTCCATAAATGACATGTTAGGACAATTTGTGAAATGTGTATATGGATTAAAATATGAGTTACATATTCTATACACGTACTGAGTTACATACAATAAATGCAAGTGATAAGAAATAATATTTTCTAATCATTAAAATTATCATTTTGATGTTAGTAAAATATTACTAATATAATGATGCTATGAGCTAAGGATATTAAATTTAGATTCATTTTGCCCTTAAACCAAAGAAGAAAACAGCAAGGTTCTCTCCTTTTCTGCTTATTTTTTTTCACTCTGTAGTCAAATAGGTAACAGTCCACCAACATGACAGAACGTAGATCTCTTGATCCTTATTTAAATTTTTGATATTTCTTGGCCTTAATTTTTATTTAAAAATATTGTGTGAAACAGTTATATAATTTATGAAGTGATCCCCCCGATAAGTCTAGTACCTATCTGACATTATACATGGTTTTTATAATATTATTGACTATATTCCCTATACTGTACTTTACATCCCTGTGACTCTTTTTGTAACTACCAATTTGTACTTCTTAATCCTTTCACCTTTCTCATCCTTCTCAACCATCCTCCCATCTAGCAACAATCAGTTTGTTCTCTGTATGCATGAGTCAGTTTCTGTTTTGTTGGTTCATTTATTTTGTTCTTTAGGTTCCACATGTAAGTGAGATCATATGGTATTTGTTTTTCTCAGTCTGATTTACTTCACTTAGCATAATATCCTCTAGGTCCAGCTAAATTTTATAGATAGCACAA